TTAGACCTACTCTTGCAATTATCAGAGCATTTTAGTTCAGATTTTCTCAGGTAGATGCCCCAGTCATATGCTTCAGTTACATACCTTTGGGGTCATGAAGCTAGGTTTTTCGAGGTGCATCTCACACTGTTTTTATCGAACACTTGCGTGCTAGTCGTCCAGCACTGATCCTAAGGAATTTTATCTCTTTTCAAATGATGATACACGCGAAATCCATGTTAACGGGCTGCGAGTGGGAGTGGCAAGTTGAAACTTAGGTCTTATCACCGACCCGGAAACTATTGATCGGCAATTTATTTTGATTTTGGCCGATCTGGGTAGCCGAGGTGGCTAAGAGCATGTAATGGCTCATTACTTCAATCCAAAAGATCCTTGGTTCGCGTCCCGCCTTAGGTGTGGGTATTTCTCCCTTGTCTCTCATGTATATGTTGTCGCGGAAGGCTTCGCGTTCTGTTGACCCCAGATCAGAAGAGCCTGCAAGTGTGTGGTCGAACATGCTTCCCATCATCTTCAAAGGTAACCGGCTGTTGGCTGGATATAAGCTCTAGGGAAATAAAAAATTTTGAAACCTAGAAACTTTTTTCACAACAGTTTCGCTTTTTGTCAAATTTATTTGGCACTTAAAACATTGTTCCCTTGAAGAAGTTTATAGTATTATATCACCACCATTCGCGACGAAGCATGACCGTATTGTACGGGCAACTACTCATGTTAGGGCAGGTATTATCCTCGCAAAACAACCACATGATTATTAAAAATGGGCGAGCTAAAAACTATAAAGCAAAAACTCTATATTATCAAGTACTAAGTAATTAATTTAAAACGCTCAAATTATAATATGCAAAAGGAGCAGGGGGCCGTCCGGGCGCCACCTTTGCATACCAACCTTGAAACTCAAGCGTTTTTGCAGGAGATGTAGCTTGCTTAGTGCTAGAATTAGAAAGAAAAACGTTTTATACAAAAGGTGTAGAAAATTTTACCTTCTATAAAATTTTCTTGAATTATTTTTGAAAGGTTTAAGATTAAATAGTTATTGAGAAATCGTGAAAAAAATTACATAATCCCGATTTTCAAGCGTGGTTAGCACTGAATCTGGTATATTACACACATGGTGTTTTAATAAGTGTATGGAACACACTATGTAACTTAAGAAAACGTTTTTGTGATCTCTTTCCAGGTAACTCACTTTTTCAACGTTAGTCGACTGATAGGTATTAGTCGAACTCTTAGGCAATATTATCTAGATCCGACTTAGGAATAACAGATTCAGGAGAGGGAATCATGAAGGCCATGTCCCCTCCCCCAAAGGCATAGAGTTTTCGATTTGTTACCTCATCTGGCAAAATTGATTTAAATATTAACGTTGAAATTATGTAATTATTTAAAAAATAATATATATACACTATAAAAATGAAATACAAATTAATAACAGATGTGTTTATTATTTAACAAAAATCTTTCTGACTTTCCCTAAAATGATCGGCTGGATCCGCCCCTGAAAATGTTCGACTTCTGTCTGAAAACGTAGTGTTTTTGGTGAGTTGGTTCCAGGGCAGAGTGCTTAACGGCTCCACAAACAAGCAGATGCGATCGCGACGTGTCTGCTCGCGTGCAGTACGATCAGCGACGTCGCTGTTCTCCATCGATTCGTACGCAATCGATAGCGCTCTCTTTTCGCCTCTCCGCGATCGATACAAGATACAGGCGTTGGGGTGTTCCTAACTCGCCGAATGTGGAGATGACGATTCATGCCATTTACGGCCTCACATTTTTGTTTAATTTGTTCAAAAATCTCTGACGTTCGAAAATTTGTACTATTATGACTGCGGCATGTTCGCAATTAAACTATTTTTTAATTACCAATTCGAAATGCAAGCATTATTTTTTGGAGTCACTTCGGACGACACAACTAAAATAAACACACACACACACACACACACACACACATATATATATATATATATATATATATATATATATATATATATATATATATATATATATAAATGTATATTATTTATATTAGCACCGAATGAAGCATAAGTTTAAGAAAAATTAAAATACTGAAAAACAAGACATCAGGTGAAGAGATGCAGAACTCCTGCAGACGACCGACTTCAAAACCATCAAAGAAATTTCAGCAGTAACATAAAACATTTGGCAAAACGAACTAATTTCTAATGAATGGAAAACTGACCTCATTCACCATGTGCACAAGTTGAGAGGCAGAACTGAAGTTAATAACTACAAAGGAATCTCCCTGTTTCTTGCCACTTATAAAATTCTCTCTCAGTGTCTCTTGGACCGAACACAACATTTTTATTATAAAATTGGCGATTAACTAGCCAGTTTTAGACCAAGCAGATCTAGTAAAAGTCTTGCATCTAAAACTAATTCGTTGTCACCAAACAAGTTTCAATAAAAAACGAACTTTTGGTAAATTCAAAAAAGCCTATGACTCAGTTGAGAATCTCTTTTCCTGACTTTGGAAGAACAGGATCTGGACATCAGAAGCCTTACGTGAACTAGTACAACATCTAAACCAAAGTTTCTGGGGGAAAATTCAAAACCCTTCAAAATTAAAACGGAAATGAGACAAGGTCTCTCCCCATTACCCTTCAAATTAATCTTGGAGAAATTAATTTGAGAGTGGCGCAAACTGAATGCAGGCCTTAAAATTGATCACCTAGTGGAACATGGAAGAACTAATATTAAGATAGACTTGCTTTTGCAAATGACCTGGCGATTCTGTCGGGGATCAGGACGTTACTGTAGCTCAAAAACAGAAATTGTAAAAGAAAAAGTTGGAAATGTCGGTCTCCAAATTTCATTTAAAAAACGAAGTACATGACAATCAACAAAGTGGGATCCATATTCCTAACTACTAAGCTCGTCAAAATCAAGAGAGTTTTTAAGTTCCACTATCACAAGAAACTTTGAAATTATTCAAGAATTTTCTCTCGAAAAGAACACCAGTAAGATTCATTGTCACAAAATGGAAACAGCTTTTAGACTCTCAAGAAACATCTACAAGAAATGCATTTGTAAGTACACTGCAATACGATGATCAACCTGAAGTGTCCTTTTGGATTTGAAACGCTAATTTTGAACACAAACGACTTTAAAGAAATTCAGAAGAAATTAGTGGATCTAAAACAACGCTTACTTTCTCTCATTACTTCTAACTTTTACAATTTTCGAAAATTAAGGAAGTTCAACGAAAATGTGTCTTCCGCCATTCTTAAGCGTCATTAACTCTTTTCGAGAAAAAATTTAAAATAACTACTGGCGCTACAAAATGGTACAAACTTTCTCGTACTACTGGCATGACCCCCAAATTTTTACAGGATATTTTTTAAATTCGCAGTGCTTTGAGTACAGCCAGGCCGACCGGGGAATATCCACTTAAGAAAAAAATTCTATGTTCTTTCCAAGTAAATTATAGTTATTTCATTAAGGTCATGTACATATTTTTCAAATGTTAGTAGTTTTCGCGCAACATTGCGTCCAAAAATGCAACTTTAACAAATAACAAAAACAAAATTTTTCACGAAAACATCTCCAAATTTTTTCTTTAAACTTTTGGTAGAGATAGTGCTAAATGTACTCTCTGAAATGACAAAAATGCTATTTTGCTATAATCTTTTTTTTAATTACAAAAATGTACTTTTTTGACTAGCCTCTCACGTCGTTAATATTCACATTAGAGACAATTTGTTCACATCATTGCATTTAAGAGTGCATATTCTTTAAATGGTGTCAAATAAAGTTTTTCGAAAACTCAAAAGGTTTCTGTAAAAACGAACTCAAACTTCCGCATTTTCAGAAACGCTCAATCACCATTTTCTCATAAACAGCGCCAATTTTTTCTCCAAACTTTTCTTCAAACTTTTCTTGCACATAATGATAATTGAACTCTGAGTTGAAGTGAGATCCATTTTCCTGTATAATTAGTTTTTTAATTACACTAATAAATATTTTTTTAAATATGTCTCACACCGATAATATCACATTTTCAGCGATTTGTAAATACTATTGCATTTGCGCCCGGTGCTTCAAATGACATCCTATTAAGTTTTTCGAAAATTAAAAAATATTCTATAAAAATGAGCTTCAAATTTCTCATTTATGGTATAGTTTAAACACCATTTTCATAATAACGACGAAGTTTTTCAATGATAATAGCCATTTAGGACAATTTTTATCCTTATTTAATATTCTTAAAGTAATATTTCGGTTCTACTATCAGTAAACTGAAAATTTGAGAAAAGTTTTTTTTAAATGTGTATTTTGGGTAGCGATAGATGGCAGCTGGCAAGACAAAAAATGCTAGGCCAGGCCAAAGGAATTAGAGAACTAACTAGTTCAAGACAGTCTGTGCATCACTAGTTTATTAATAATAAAGAGAATAATATTTCTATCTCAACTCCGGATGAAGATAATTTCCCCCCAAAATGACCAAAGGGTGTACTTGGCAGTGGCAGGGGCGTGGCAGACCACGTTGGGGAGGGGAGGTTAGGACGTAGTATCTTATTAATTGTGAATAACTACCCGGGCAACATAGGGTAATTCAGATATATTAACAGAAAAAAAATCCTATCACGGATACACAGAACGTGTTTTTGTGTCGAAAATTGTCATATTCGCTGAAATATACGATATTTTACCTATACTGTGTACTAGTTTATGAGAAAGGCACCAGGAACATAATTGTGAATTATAAAATACAGGATATTGCCCAGCATGCTCAGAACAGTTCCTTTATCAAATTTTCCCGCAAATTTACTTCAAGGTCAGCAAGCTCAACATAGTGTCTTGTCAGTTAAATTTATATTTTGTTTACATTTAAGTAATCGTTCATTAATGTTGATAAATAATTTATACATTTTTTGTCACATTCTATCAATATCGTCATCATAGTTTTTTTCAAAACTGAAAACATTTTGAGTTTTTATTTTGATTTCAAACCGTTTCCATAGTAACACGTAAAGCTGTTTATTATGATATAGGTAGTTTGAGTATCCGTGTTTCCTTTCTTCAGAGTCGTTTCACTACCTCTAGGTTGATAAATATCATTCAGAATTATCATCGAGGTAGATGTTAACGTCTGAAAACCCTATTAATATTGACATTTTTGTTTTTCAATTATAAAAACCATTGTTCTACCATGTTCAGTGAAATATTTAATATTTTTACTAATTACGAATATAAGTTATTAAATATTCGTTTATTTAAATATAGTAGATAATTACTACTTTAAGCATAAGATAACCTACTTTATTATGAAATTTATCTCTGACATCAGTTGCGTAAATATTTCATTTTATACTTCGTGTAACTCTGAAGACATGTTCAGAAAGCAGAAATATATCTTATAAAAATTGTTGTTCAAATTGTGAGGGTTAAAAAATTCTGTACATAATTCTTAAATAGAAAAAAGCTGTCAATTGCTGTACTAAATTATTATTCACAAGAATCATATTTTTTTGTTTAGTACTCTGGGTAATGGCAGTTCATTTCTAGAGTAAAATTCAAAACAATGAATGACAATGAAAATAGTGAGTGTGCATTTTTGCAATCTCAAGGCAATAATTATAGTGATGATGATGACGATGATGTCATGAACATTGTTAGTGTTGGTGTTCAAAATAGGAGAGAAGTTTCTGCAAAAATTAAGAATGATGAATCAACATTATTTAATTCTGATCATGTTCTTGAAGTTATAGATAGGGAAGAAAGAAATAGACAGACCTTTGATTCACAAATGATTTTGGAAAATGTTCCTCATCAATGTGACGCGAATGAAGAAATTAAACCATATCCAAAACCTCGAAGGAAAGAAAAAATCATTAGAGAAGTGTCAGAAGTAACACCTCAAAAAACAATTAAGAAAACTATCAGCAGTAGTTATGCAAATGAAAATAAAATTGAAGAAATAATATCTTTACAATATTCAGCAACATCTAATACAGATACATTTGATGCTCATTTAAATGATGGTAAAGGAAATAATGAAGAACTAAAATATAAAATGAGAACTGATTCACAGAGCAAACAAGAAAAGAGACCTTTACCGCGACCACGATCAAAGGCAAACACATTAAACATCCATACTGACACTAGAATCGAAGATACAAACAACCAAAAATTACTGCCTATTGACACTATGGTCATTAATGAGTGCAAAGAAATTCGAACTGAAAAAGATCAAGATGTACAGGAGTCTTCAAAAGAGAAAGGAAGAAAACACAAACTGAGATCTCACCACAATGAGAATGACAAAAATAAATTAAAGGTAGGAAAAGAACAAAGAGTTATAAATCAAGAAAACCATGAAGATATTCTTCAGACTGAGAACACAAGTGAACCCGAAACAAGAAAAATAATTGGTATTATTATCCACCGCAGTGATTCTTTACAAGTAGATATGTTAATACAGCATCCAGTAGTTAAGGTGCATTTACTTGATGCTAGTACAGGTAAATATCTAAAGAAGAGCAGTCCAGATCGAGCAGTGTCATTTTATTATGAAGATAAAAGTATAGATTTTATATTGCCGCTTATGACAAAAAGTTTTGACTTTAAAATAAAAAGGTAAAATCATTTTCTATATTTTAATTTATGAATAATAAGACTTGTTGTTATATACAGTAATTAAATACCTACCGTAAAAGTTTAAATATTATGTAGATCTTTGGTACCAACGTGGGAAGAGCTTCTTTTATTTAATGAAGATATACAGCTTATATTGAAAGATGTACCACCTGTCCTAATAATGTTTGAAATATTGGATTTTGTCAATTTTACTGTTGCTAGTTCTCAGTATAAAAAACTAGGTTAGTATTTCAATCTCTTTTTCTTATTGAATATTGACATAAATATTGTTTACACCCGCATAAATATATTAAAAATTCACAGAATTCGGTTCATTAACAAAACAAAATTCATGCCTGAGACTGTTTAACTGAGTGCATGGAACAAATATTGAGGGTTATAATGTGTGAAACCCAAAAGGGTGGATACAGTAGTGATCAAAGTGGTAACTTCAAGCACAATGTTTAAACTAGAGGGAATATAGAGCGTACTGAATATTTTTCCTTCCTTAGTGTTACTAGTAAAAGGGGAAAAATAGTAGTGATCAGTGTCTTCAAAGATGTCACTTCAAGCACAAAATTTAAACTAGTGGCACTGCGTGGCATAATGCATTGTTTTCTCCTCTTAGTGTCACTAGTTATTACTCATTAACTACTCTACTAAAATTTAAAAAAAGACATCGAATCTAAACGGATCTAAAACCGGGGTAAATTGTATTGACACAGAAATCTCTGGTGTTGATATTGGAAGTGTAGGACAGGTTCAAAAATAAATTTAAACTTTGCAATTTTCAAATTGCCTGAGCTTTTAAAGAAAATTAGAAGTATACCATTTTTATTAATACACTTTCTTCTATTCCAGTAAAATATTACCTAAGAAAAAAAGTGCAGCCATTTTGCAGAAAGTTTTGAAAATGTCACATTGGCTTCCTGTAAAGTATTCCCAAAAATTAAAATATTGTGATGATCTCGAGGTCAGCACTACTAGATCTTTCTTCTGACATGTTTACCAAGTTTGAATTCAAAACCTTCTAACATTTTTACAAAGTTATATTATCAATGGGTTTTTGAAGTTTTTTAGTGTATGACCAAACTTTTCTCTTTCATAGGAAATTAAATTTATTCAAGTGTAGTTTCAAATGATATTCCATTAAATTATTAACCAAATCTTTAGGCACACTTGCTCTGTATCAACTCAAAATTTGACAGAGCAAAATTTGCCTTAATATTTTAATAGATTATGACTGCAGCAAAAATTTTTGCATACTAAAAATAATTACTTAAAGATGAAAACCATTTTAACAGGAAATACTATAAAATAAAGTTATATTACTTGTAGTTTGTCGATTAATTTTTTTGGTTGTTAATACAAATAGTCAGTGCTGTGGGTACACCCTCAATTCAGTTCTTCGTATGTACAAAACATACAAAGGTTTGTTTTTTCAGATTCGTGAATTTTCATAAACCAGAAAGATAATTTTATAATTTAATATTTTAAGGGTCTTGCAAATATTCACATCTTGCAAATTAATAAAACTATTGACATTCATGTGGGAAGACTATATAAAGAGAATAATATGATCATTAAATTTTTCTTCCAGATATATTACTTCTTCTTTATAATGGAAAAAAAATATTATTTTTTTTCAGGACCTGAAGGAGGATGGCATAAAATCGCATGGGCATTCTTGAAACCTGTGGGTGCAAATCGACATTTCAATGTTGAGAAGAAACTACGTTTACAATTATATAAGCCCACCTTTCCTGCTAAAACTAGTCATGAACACTGTGATGTAAGATCATTTTATATCAGCAATTTGAAAGTAATTTATTTTTGCCTAATTTAGGAGAATGCTAAAATAATCAGGCTCAGATGGTTACAGCATTTCTCAACTCAATAAGATCTTGGACTTACCAATTCCACCCTGGTTATCTTGGTTGTTTCTCTCTTTTAATTTTCTTTTATGGTGCCATACCTTCAAGACTATTAGGGAAAATACTGTTAATGTATTTACAGATAATCAATTTTTTTCTTAATAAAATGCCAGGTGTATTCATGGTGGTCACATCAAGTGTGGGAGCGATATCCTGCTACATTGTATGTTACTGTGAAAGGAGTCATTCCACCTGAGAACATTCAACCGGCCCTTCGGTCGCAAGTGGTATTACAGCAAGAGAAAACCTCTGATGTTCTTGAATTCTATAAACCACAGGATGGAGAAAATGCTTCAAAATCTAGCATAGGAAGTCATAAAAACAAGGTATTAAAATGGCTTACATTTTATTAACCAGCAATTTCTTAGTCATGGTAATTTGCTTTGTTTTTTCTTTGTTTGTTTGTTGTTGTTGTTTTTTTAGTTGATTAAACTAAACTAAAATACAATACAAAATGTGCAAGGTTTTCAATGATATTGTCTTCCATTTATGATACTCATGACTAGATGAATAATACAGAAGTTCAGAGCTGCCCTGTATGGTCTCGTTTACCTGCTCAGTCCTGTAAGGTACCAAATGAACCTAAATTAAATATTTCTACTTTAGCAAAAGGATGTTTCCTTGTGAAGTTCAGTAACTCAGGCTTGCTCTTGGCTTGCACAATGGCAAATGAAGAAATGTTTTCCATTAATTTATACACTGTAAGTATGAAGAAGCAGTGGAAAGAATTGGGCAAATTCAATTCCAAAAGGTTAAAAAAGAGAGTGATTGATTACAAATTGCATCTAGATTCCAGATGGGAAAGAATATGCTGTGTTCTTGGGCCACCGAGGTTTAATTTACGATTTGTGTTGGTCTTCAAGTGACTCTATGCTTCTTTCTGGATCTGCTGACTGCACTGTCTGCATTTGGGATGTTGAGAAAAAACGACTGAATTGTCTACAAGTATGTTTCTCTTTTCAATTTAATTCATAAATTTGATATAATATTTCAACTATAGAATACTGATTCTTTTATGTCTAGAAAGCCCAAAGTTAGAATTTTTAACAATAACATGTCATTATTATTTTTTATGATCTCTTTAATTTATCTTGGATTATGTCTTGAATTTATTTGAATTATTTCTAAGAAGAAAAGCCAAAACATAGTGATGAAAAATGCAACTTTTCAGGAGAGAAGTTTTAAGGCGTTATATGTATGCATTCATTTATAGTGGAGATCCCTCTTAATTTGCCATCAGTATGTGTCTTAGGGACCCACAGATCCTTCAAGTTCCTGGCTCAATTTGCCAATGTGGAGACATCCCATAACTCCTCAAACTTCATGCTGAGGGAGTCCTAGGACCTATCTTTGTAAAAATTGTGTTGCCCCAGGTAGCCCCTTGGCCCATTTCAGTGCTTACATATTTTAGGAATTAGAGAGCCGTTTTCTTACTGCACACACGTCATTAAGATTTACATTAGCGGCGATTTGTTCATATTATTGCATTTATGAGTACATGTGCTTTAAATTATGTCTTAAAAAATTTCTCTAAAGCTCAAAAGTTTTCTGTGGAAGTGAGCTCAAATTTCCTTATTTTTAGAAACTCATTTTTCCAGGGATTTTTTACGATTTTCTAAAAAACAGCTTGAATTCTTTTTCTACACATTTTTTGAACAGATGCACTGCTTAGGATGTCATCAAAATTGATTGCGCTGTATTAATTTGTTTTGAAAAGAATTACATAAATGTAATTGTTTGGAAATATGCTTTTAATAAGCACATATCCAGCGATTTGTATTCATTATTGCATTTGTGAGTAGAAGTGTTTCAAATGACTTCAATAAAGTTTTCTAAAATCCAATATATTTCTTTGAAAAAGAACTTCACATTTTGCATTTACAGTAAAGCTTAAAAGATATTTTTATAAAAATTTCCGTATATGACGATTTCCATACCTGACTCTTCTTTAATATTCATAAAGTAATATTTCAATTCTACGATTAGGAAACCGAAAAATGGCGGGAAAAAAGGAAGGGAAAAAAAAAATGTAGTTTGGTTGGCGATAGATGTCAGTGGTCAAGAGGACGAGGCCAAATCGTAAAGCTTGCCCATACCAAGGAAATTTGAAAACGAAATAGTACAAGAAAGGCTGTGCTATTCTGCAGACAAACTAGTTATAGAAAGAGTTAGTTAACGAAATAATTTCAAACTTTTGCAAATTTCAAAAATTCAGAGTTAACAGTAAAAATTGGACATATGCCGCCTTTATAAGTGTCCTTTACTCTGCTCTTACCCGAAATTTAAAGAATCTGTCGTATGGGATTCATGTAAAGTACCCCCTAAAATTAATGAATGTTTTTCAAAAGGAGAGCTTAAGAGTGAGGCCAGACCGACAGGGAGTTTATTCGGTTTGGAAAATTCTTACGCATTGTTTAAGCCATAGTGTTGTTTAAATGCACCAGATGGACAGATATTTTTTAAAAAATCACTTTTTTGGTATAAGGGGACCCCAAAACGTGTATTTCCGTTGAAATCTCGAAATCCATTTTCCGCATTACATAACTTTCTCTACACTACATTTATTACTTCGTACATACGTACGTATAAGAAAAAGTAAAATGGTGTAAAAATATGGAGCCATTTCTGAGAAAATTTCGAAAACGTTGAGGCTTCGTGTAAGTATGCATTTCAAAAATAAAAATATTAATTTGAAACTTGAGTTCATTTAGATCAACTGGAGAATATCAACTTTGGATAAAATTATCTGAATAGTTTAGGCTCGTTATTTAAACTGTTCATTACATCATTTGAAGACCTAAAATTGAGGGATAAATTGCATTGAGAAACAAAATACCTCTTCATCATTTGTATCAAGCTTAACAACTTAAAAAAACGCTAAGAGATCTTTATCTTGATGTGTATAAAGTTAGAGCTTAATAAAAAAACACAAAATTTATGAGTAAAATTCTATATCGCATTGTTTAGGTGATTCCAAAACTTTTCCTTCCATTTCTCTTGAATGGTATTTCATTTTCAGCACTTTCTCTCAACGAAATAGAGAACCGAAAAAACTAAAATTTCGTCAGAAAAACTTTTATTAAGGGTCCTGGTAACTAAAAAGTGGATAAATCTACAAATTCGCTAAATTTAGAGACAAAAATCATGTGTCACGTGGTGTAGCCTGAATCCATGTTTTGTGGGTCCTTGATACCGAATAATCGATTGACGGCAAAACGTCTATCCGTCCGTCTGTCCGTTTGGTGTTTGCGAACATCACTAGCCCCTATTCTGCGATTTATGCAACTCTGCCTCTGGCAGGTAGCAGCTGTTGACGGATTCATCTATCGGGAGCTGGAACGTCTCCATTGTGACGTCACTATGGTGACGTTAAGCTCCCTATTGCATGAAACTGTCAACAGCAGATACCTACCAGGGGCAGATTTGCGAAAATCGCAGTATAAACTTTTCCAAACGGAATAAACCCTTGTTGATCTGGCCTGAGTCAAAGCTCTGCGATTTTGAAAACCATTCATTAATTTTTAGGGGTATTTTACAGGAAGCCCTTGGGGCATTTTCAAAATTTTCTCAAGAACGGCTTCAATTTTTTTCTGTAAATTTCTTGTAAGAAAAGAGTGAAATGCACTTATAAAGATGGCATAGGTCCGATATTCACTGATAACTCTGAATGTTCGAAAATTGCAAAAGATTCAATTTTTTCGGCGAATTTCTAAGACTATAGAATTCAGGTTTTCCCCTCCAATGAAATTTGCTCTCCATAATTAGTTGTTCAATCAGGCCATGAATTTTTTTATACTTTCAGAAGTCTTCGTGCAAAATGTGCAATTTTTAAAAACAATAAAAATAAGATTTTCTCAAAAACGGCTCCAAATTTTTTCTTGACACTTTTGGAAGTGGTAGTGCTAAATGACATATGAAATGACTTAAACGCCATATTGCTCTATTCTGTAATGTAAGTCTCTCACGTCGTTAATATTAACATTAGTAACGATTTGTTTACATTATTGCATTTATGAATACTCGTACATGTACTTTGAATAATGTCTTGTTAAGTTTCTGTAAAACTACAGTTTTCTGTGAGAACTGGCTCAAAATTCCGAATATTCAGAAACGCCATTTTCTAAATGCCGCTCCAAATTTTCTTTTCAAACTTTTTGTACGGATAGGGCTTATTGCACTCTTTAAGATGACATAAAATTACTTTTGCTGTATTCTTTTATTTTCAAGAATTTCACAAATTATTTTTTTAATACCTCTCACGCTTTTAATATGCATATTTCCAGTGATTTGTATACATTATTGCATGTATGAGTGAATGTGCTTCAAATGATTTCAAATGCTTTTCGAAAACAAAGGATTCCTGTGAAAAAGAGCTTCAAATATTTTCGTATTTATTTTTATTATTTCGTATTTACACTAGAGCTTAAGCGATTTTTTTAAACCACTCCAATGTTTTTAACGAAAATCTCCGTAGAAGACTAGGTTTTACTCTTCTTTAATATTTCAAAAATAATATTTCAAAACCACCAGTAGGAAATAGAAAAATTGACAAAACTCCGAAAATGTATTTTGGGCGGCGATAGATGACAGCTGACAAGAGGATGGGGCAAGAAAGCTGCCCCCCCCAAAAAATTAGAAAAGTAACTAGTACGAGAAAGTGTGTGCCATTTGTAGCACCACTAGTTTACACATTTCTTTGTAGTAGGTATGTAGAATAATCTTGGAAAATGGAAAATCGTAACACTGATTAATTCTGAAAACGATTTCAAACTGCGGGAGGAAAGTTTATATATCCCAAAAGTTTATTTAAAATGTTGTGACTTACTTGTAAAGTAGAATGTGAAAACTATGAATTATGAGTAATTTCCTAGAATGTGACATAGTAAGTATTATATAAGTGACATCAAGTTTCTTACTAATAATTCTTTTACAGATGTTACCGCATCCTTCATTTGTATACAGTGCAAAATTTCATGGTCACAGAAGTTGGCTATTAGCTACAGGCTGTAATGATCACATTGTGCGTTTGTGGGTGAGACAACATAAGGCAAATGAGTACAATGTAAGGTGAAAGTAATCAGACTTTAATACTACATTGAATTTTTATGAATACTCATTAATATAGTAAATATATGTAATTGAATATGAAATTCATATTTTTGTAAATTAACCTGAATGTTCATGAAAAAGATAAATATATTTTCATTCCTCAGCTTGTACAAGAGTTGGAGGGGCATGAAGGATTTATTAATTCACTCTGTTTTATCCAACAAAATGGGTTATTATCAGCAGATAGCATGGGGTCTATTTTCTTATGGTCCTGTGATAAACAATCCTTTTCAAGAAAAAATATTGTTCCATGGGAAAAAGTTAGGTGAGTAATTATTACAATAAAATACAACAATACTACAACACTAACTCGCACCCATACATTTACAATACTTTCGATATCTAATACTGTGCACTTCAAATATATTTAATTTTGGGGAATACGTTATTGTCTTAATTTGGGAGGATACTTTACATAAAGGTTCTGAGACATCAAAAAATTTTAAGCCGTTTTTTAAATACAGTTTTATTGTTGGATAGCAGTATAACGTTACAGAAACAGACTTATAACTTCTAACAGAATATCGGACTTTACGGACTTTAAAACGCACTTTTTTCTTCGATAAATTGCCTTCAAAATTCAGGTGCGTCTTATATTAGAGATTAATATAAAAACGTTCAGTGTTTGAAAAAACATTCCCGTCAGTCGTAAAAATGGCCTTATATTCGATGCCGCGGAAAATCTATCTACATCTGGCAACATTGGGTTCACGTGGCAGCACCAGTGAACCGATACGACGAACACGAGCTGCGGGGATTCACAAGCTTACCAACGTTGTCTCCCTCCCGCCCCGCCATCACAAACCCTGAGCACTGAGGAGCCTATGATGCGTCATGCTATTGTTCCAGTGAGCTTGAATTGAAAGTGATTTATGTGTTCGGTAACAGTGCAATATATTTGTTAGTTGCTAGTTTTGTAACGATAAAAAGGGTATTCATATAATATAGGCTCCAAATTGAAAACATTTTTTTTAATTGCTTAAAAATTAGCGTTTAATAGTCCATAGCGTCTTGTAGTCCGTAAAATACGGTGGGGAAACGGCGTACTTGAGCGGCGATAGATGGTAGCTGGGAAGAGGGTGGAGGAAAACCGCAAAAAAATCTCGGACTCAGCTTTTGGTGAAGCGCAAAATAAATATCAGGCACTTCTATCTGACGGATGAAATATCTGTCGGATTAGTATACGGAACTTTATCAGACACCAGTGAAAGAGACCCTTAGACATTAGAAAACTAAATAGTACGAGGAAGTCTGTGCCAATCTGTAGAAACTACTATTAGTGTAGATTCCTTAATGAAATCTGCTCTAAAAAAATAACCTTACAGATGTATATTATAAGTGTATTCTATTATCACCAGAAATTTTACCAAAACTCTGATGCTATTTTTGGGAAAAGTTTGCAAATGCCCTAGAGGCTTCATGTAAAGTAGCTCCGAAATGTAAGGAATTATTTTCAAAATGTCTGGACTGCGAATCAGGCGAGATCGTCCGGGGAATATTTATTTTGCAAAAAAATCCTACTAATAGTTTAGATGCTAGTGTTGTTCTCAGACACGAACGAATGGAGAGGGGCGTTTTGAAGAAACACATTTTCGTTGACAGGGAACCCAAAAAGTCAATTTCAGTTGATATTTCGAAATGATTTTCGCAGGATTAGAAAACTTCTTCTATAAGATGTATATTATACGTCCGTTTATACTCACGTATACGAGGAAGTAACTAGTGGTGCTAAAACAACTCATACTTTCTCACCCTTAGTAAAGGTTAGGAAATACTTATACCGCAATTTCTCTCCAAATTAACACTTCCCAAGTCATTTTTTGTAAAACTCATTACAAATCGTTGAACATTAGGAGGGAAAACTGAATATTTTCAAGAAAATATCAACATAAATGACTTTTTTCATACAGCTAAATCATTTCCCAACAATGAGATGAAATTTACAGCTGCGGTGTCGCATTCTAGTCTGATATTTCCTGAAGGCAAGCAATTTTTCTTTCACATTACAATTAAATTGTATTTTTAACAAGGAAAATCTAATCGGGCTAATTTCAATTAAGACTTACGAATGGCTTGAAATAAAATACTCCAATTAATTCAAAATGCAAATACGTTATTTTCGAAACGTTATAGAGGAAGTAATTTAATTCATTACAGGATCCAGAATTATCCATTTTTTCGGTTTTAGGTACTCACAAAACTAGTGTTTCGTAAAAAAATCGTCGCTTTTTTCTGCAGCATTACAATACTTAGTTTGTACTGCGCATGTAGTATGCGAGAGAGTAAAATTGTGCATGACACTATGTAAAGATCTGATATTGAAGAATTAAGGTAAATAAGAACACAAATCTTGAACACCATGTCGTACTAATTATTGAAGGTTGCGGAGGAGGGGGAAATACTATTTTGAATATGCGAACTACGGCATTTTTTAAAAAAATTCTTAAGATTTAATGCCAGTTGCCCTTATACTTTACAGCCCACCTATACTTTTTACATTTTTTTTATTTCTCAGTAACATTCTTCAAAATTAAAATATTTAAATTAAAATGGATTTGCTTTGCTTTTAACAGTGAAGTTCAAAAGTGGTATTAAGATTAGATATGTTTTGTCCTTTTCTCTTCTGTGACATAAGTGTCTAAATAGTCATTCATAAACTAAATTTTAATTTAAAACGCATTTTCAATTTTTGTTGCAGAGAATTTTGTGTTCGTGAACTTAGAGGAGTTGTAATAAACAAAGTGATAGTTCATCCTGGAGGTCAAAGGTTATTAATCCATTCTCGAGACAGCTTATTGAGAATGTTGGATGTTACTACTGGAATCGTAATACAATGGTTTCGAGGAGCTATTAAACATCGGTAAGTATTTAATGGTTGGTGTTGTTAATTTTTTTAAAAATTGAATGTTTGGAACAATGTTGACTGGTAGGCTTTTCACATTGAAAGGTCAAGGAAACTTTCGAGGAAGCCTTCAGGAATCCAGCTCCAATTAAAATTCTGTCCAGTTTCCACCTTTCCATTGATTATCCGAGAATACATAGCGGAGCGGCTTAGATAATACGTAGGTCGTTCCGAAAGTAATGCCTCACAATTTTTTTTGTGAGCTTACGACCTCAAAAACAAATGTTTGTGGTCTTATAGTGGAATTTGAACTTTCCCGCCTATTTTCGTTTAATTTCGTTGCCACTAGCCAGATAGAAGCACAGTGACAGTGTGCCAAAATGGCGTGTAACGTGAACGCGCGTGAGAAACAGATGCGTAATTGAATTTCTCTCTTCGGAGGAAATTGCGCCTATTTGACATCCATAGACGCTTGCTGAACTTTTACGGAGAGCAAACAGTGGATGTGAATACAGTGCGGCGATGGGTAGTGCGTTTTCGTGGTGGTGACAGCGACGGGAGAGACAAACCACGTTGCGGTCGGCCACGCACAGCTGCCACACCAAGCAATGAGCAGCGCCTCGACCAACTTATTCGCGCCAACAGGCGCATCACGACTAGGGAATTGTGTGCGGCTGTGAGCTTTGGCTGCAATGCATTGGAAGTTATGCTCAGTAAATTAAGCTACCGGAAATTGTGCGCAAGGCACTAACAGAGGAACACAAACTTCACCGAATGGACTTTTGTGAGGAATTTTTGGCGCAATATGATGCTCAAGGTAACGAGTTTCTGGACAGAATAATCACTGGTGACGAGACCTGGTGTCATCATTATGAACTAGGAACCAAGAGACACTCCAAGGAATGGCGCCATAAGAATTCCCCAACGAAGAAAAAAATTCAAAACCCAGTCTTCAGCGGGCAAAATCATGTGCACAATCTTCTGGGATAGGAGAGGGGTAATCTTTATGGACGTCCTGGAACCTGGTCGAACAATAGACTCCGACCGGCATATTAAACTCTGACCAAACTGAAAAATCGCATTTCAAGACTTCGGCCAGAGAAGAAAACAACTTTTCTCTTGAAACACGACAATGCCAAACCTCAATCCAGTCTCAAATTGCCACCACGAACCAAATTGCCAAATTTGGATGGACTGTTTTACCACACCCACCATACAGTCCGGATTTGGCACCTTCAGACTTCCACTTGTTCGGGCCAATGAAGGATGGATTGCGGGGACGTCGATTTTTGAACAACGGCGCTGTCGAAGCAGCTGTGTCACCTCGGCTGGTGCAGATTTTTACGAGCGAGGCATGCAGGCTCTAGTTCTTCGGTGGAAAAAGTGCATAGAAAGAAAGGGGGGCTATGTTGAAAAATATGTACGTATTAAAAATATTGTTTCTCACATCTTTTATTAAGATTCTTTTTTTTTACTGTAGTTATCATGCAATTAAATAGGAGACATTACTTTCGGAACGACCCTCGTAAAAAATAGATTTCTGTTAGTGTGTTGCGTCACCGAAACCTGGCATTAGCTCCTGGGCAGCTCCGCGTAAAATATATTACTCGCGCAACGTTTCTTGAACGATGACCTTGCTTCCCCCTCTGGTACAAGAACCAGTTGAAGGCAAAAGGTCGCATCGAGCACTGATGAAAACATTCTAAACACATCTTCACTGGCGCGAAATAGAAACCATTTTCCGTTGAAGGACGAGAACTTCTGTCCATATTTTCCTCCAAATGTAAAGAAATGGCCGAGGCAGGTGAATATCCATTACAGGAGATACCTAGAACTTCCTGAGAAATGTTAGAAACGCAAAATTATTGAAAGTTGCGAAGGCTTTGACTGATTCTCACGAGAATTGCGCATGCTTCAATAAAATCTAGTGCCCATTTCGTACTAATACCCCCACTCTACCCGCATTTTCATCATCCATCTTCAAGAAAAGTTGCGTAGTACTGGTCCGCAATGTTTTATTGATATTTCACAGCGGGGGGTGCGGGAGCAAGGAAGTCTCTGCTTACGTCACAGCATAAAAGAGCATACCAACTGTTAAAATGAACATAGCGCGCCAAAGCGTAGGATTGAACTTACGTAAATTATAGCAATTACCCGAGTCATCGATTAGCTGTCGCGTTTCACTTTCACTGGCCGTGTCCCCAGCAACATTAACAATAATATCGTCGATAGCTACTTCCAAAATCTCATCTTTTTGCCAATATTCGATTTCACACTTCTGTATGTTGTCGCAAAAGCCTTTCCAGTCTGCAGATATGACAGATATGCGTAGTGTGTAAGTTTACGAGGTGTTGCACTGACAAGTCTCCAGTGACATTATGTTCCCTAAACACTCTTTTAATTTTAGCCCATGCTAACTCTATGGGATTGAGGTCACAATTGTAAGGCGGATACGAATAACAGTATGACCCCTTTCAGAAGCCTTTTGTCTATTACATAAACCTTTTTCGCTCGGTTTATGGCCAGTATGAGGTCGAACAAATAACTTTTACGCTGATTGTGATCACAATTAATTCCCCTCTTCCTTAACCATTCTATCATTGTCAGTTTGGTGCCGTATCTTGACGGGACTCTTTCGGCTTGTCTAGAATGGTAAGGGGCATTATCCATAACTATGACGGATGCGGGCGGTATATTTGGGAGTAATTGCATATTAACCATTTTTCAAAAATTGATGGAGTTCATTTGTCCATGGTAATCCCCTTGTGACGTGTTCGCTTCCATTATTAGGTTAGCACCTCAATAAAACCATTTCCAGAACCTGCACTAACAATAATGAGTCGTTTTGCAGAAACTGCCCACGAAGTCACTCCTAAAATATCATTCTCCTTTTCCCAGCACTTTCCTGAGGTCATATTATTGTCTATCCAAGATTCATCTAAATAAAATATATCCCTTCCTTCCTCTCTACAATGCTTCATTCTCACCAGGTATCGAGATCTCCAATCTACAATATCACCTCGTTCTAACAGTAATTTTCGTTTGTTCTGAACTTCCTTCAAACGAATCCATAGATTTCAAATGTTTCGAAGTGATGAAGGCTCAATTCCAATTGATATTTTGTTTCAGCACTGTAGTAGTTTTGTTATTGTAGGAACGACCTTCTGGACAGTGTAAAAAATCATGAATAGTGTCCCTGATTACTCTCTTATCGAAATCGTCCAACAGGATTTTCCCGCGTGTTCTTGTTCTGGCAACAAAAAAAAAAAGGTTCATGCACTTACCATTCGCGACAAAATAAAACATAATAAATATTTCCAAATAAGAAGTGTCATGTATTTCATTTAATAAAAACGACAGTAGTACCTCTTTTTGCCTGGAGTTTCAGGTGACTGATCTGGGTGCAAAACCTTAAATTTTTTTATTCTATTCACTGATGCAATGCTTGCACCCGTGTAAATGGTCGCCCTCTTTAAGGCTTGGTTAAGAGGGCAAGGAGCGACCTTGTTCTCTTTCTCTCTTTGACAACAGTCTACCACGTTAGCATAATTTTCCTCTCGCACTATGAAGAGTGTGGATACGGCGAGATGGTGGCGTTCTTCGGAGTTTCCCGAGAGGGCCCCTGGACTCGCGTCTGCCATTGTTGATCTTCACGTAAAGTTGTGAAGATAACAGTGGATCAAATGTCCAAATAAATATTTCTACCAGATAAATAAGCCAACGTCGTATAAAAGGAAGAAGCAATAAAACTAGTCAATCAAATAACAGTAAACGTAATCGTTAAACCAAACCAAAAGCAAAAACGTCGTAAAGTATGGGAACAAATATATTAACAAACCACTTAATTAACACACTTGCACGAAAATACTTCGACTGTTTTGAATGTAGGAGGTGGGAGATGGTAGCACTGTAAATTGATACGTGCCGTTCCGAGTCGCGACCAAGAATTCAACGGGCCGTGCTATTCAGCGCTGGGCATGAGTTAGGGAGTCCGTGTATCAAGAAAACTTGCGCGACCAGTAATACCATTGTCAAATTTCGGGGAACCCAGGGATTTCTACTTCATACGCCACGACGCGTCACCAGAGGAATTGAATTCAGTCGTAATGTGAAGTAAAAGCGACGAAATTCGTAAAGAAACGTTTGATTTCGCATGGACAGAGGTAACCGTGATAATCTCTTCAATACTCGTTGACTCTTTCTCCAAAGTAACAATCTTTGTCAATTGTGTGTCGTTTCTTTTCAAGAGCACTCTTGTCTGATGAAAAACTATCGATAGAAGAGGCGATGTTTCGTCGCAGCTTCTGCTAATTGCTCTCCCAATTTATCTTACGAGTATTTCGCGGCCTGAACATGGTCATATATTCATATTATTTTGAGTCATAAATGCTTGAATATTTCTAAGATTTTAGGTCATAAACATCCGAGCCCTAGTGACGTATGTTAGGAGTGTCCTCCGCTTAAATCGCACATTAAGAAAAATAGTGGCTATTGTTTGTAAGGTGGATGAGGTTGGGAAAGCAACTCTCTGACTAGTATTTTGAATGCAATATTACGCCGCTAATTAAAGAATCAAAGGAGTTTGATGTACCAAACCCGAGTGTAGTAAAAGAGCGGGTAGGGATTCCAAGCATTCTGCGCAGATTGTGCTTCTCCCCCATACATCACATACTGTTCATTGACGTTAAATAATTATGTCAACATTTTAATGTACTTTTGTAATAGTTAAATCTAATTCAAATGAAGATAAGGAAAGGGGCAGTTATGTATTTTTGTTTCATATTCATATCACAAACATAAATTATTTGAAGAAAAATATATTATCTTTAAATTAACTGTGACACTGTTTCAATTTTCAGAATTCAGACGTCAAGCTGTATATCTCCATGTGGGGGCTTGATTTTCTCCGCAAGTGAAGATGGAACTGTTTATGTTTGGAATGCAGATACTGGAGAACTTATTGCATTGTACTCGGGATTAAATTTTCACTCCCCTATCACATGTGTAGATTATCATCCATTTGAGCATATGGTTGTATTTTCATCACATGGTTCTCCTTCTCGAGTTGTGGTCTGTACTTACGACAAAATGTCACAAGGCAGTAGTTTGGGATTGCAGTTAATGAACCAGGAATCTTTACATCCTAAAATATTGGATAATGCAAACCAAACAGCAAAGCAAAATGCTGATTTTGGTTCAAAAATTAAGAAAAATTTTAAAATGGAGTCAAAAACTGATGTAAAAGCGGAGAATAACACTGACGAAGTTCTTGAAAATGAAGGATCAAAATCAGGCTTTTGGAATGGGACATCAGACAGCAGTAGTTATAAATTGGAATCACCTCAACATATTACTGAACCCAAAAAGAAGATAGATCTTTCGTATCTGATAAGTCAAATGGATGAAATTCTTTCCTCAGAATCTCATAAAAATAGTTCAACAATTTCAAAAATAGTTCCAGCTCAAAAGTAAAACAAATATACTGGTAATATTACATTTGCTCATTTGCTCTTGGCACTAATTTTTTACTAAATAAGAGCTCAGGAGTTGCGACTTAGAATAATTCCAATTCTAATGTAAGTTATGTAAATGTTCCCTTGAATAAAGATTATTGTATGAACTGCCTTTCTATTTTGGTAATAAGTGTCAAGAAACCCTTGTATTGATTTTGAAAAGTAATTGTTTTTATCCATTCAGAACTCCAATTACCTTAGCGTTATCAAACCCTGTTGAATGTTGGTGATCTTGACAATAAGCAGATATTGTCGATGATTTTGGGAGGACCTGTAACTTCTGTGGTCTCCTCAGTCATGTGAGAGATTTTTGCCAAAAACAAAGAGGAGCATGGTCTGTCAGTAACTCTCGTAGAAATGTTTCACATTTCCACCTCGGTCAGGTTTTTGTCCAAATTCCTTGATACATTGAGCAAATATTGATATGGTCCCTTGTTTTATTTCTGAACGTAAATGTAGCTTCACTATGCGCAAGTTTTGTGTATCTCTCCTTTGGTTGTATGGTAGGAGTAGAGGTAAGGACGAGTTACCATTTTGTTAGCATTGCAGAAAAATCAAATCTGCAGTAACATGTAGTAACGTTTGGTCAAAAGAAGGTTTCGACAATATTGTTTGTTGATCTTTAGGCAAGCATGAAAAGGCAAGAAATCATATATTTTGTGCATTTACACTGTAATTTCGGTAATATTCGAGTAGAATTGCAACTAAATGCTCAGAAGGCTTTACAAATTTCGATACACAACGAAAGAATGCTGAGCTGAGATTAGCATAGGACATTTTACACAATAGGTAAAGTGACACATTCGACCAAATATTTTAAATAAAAAACTATAGAAATTTATCGACCACATGCGACTTACTGCCGGGCATTTATATAGTATACCTAGGATAGGGAAATATAACTAGGGGCCGGATTTTGATGGCCTATCACAACGCCAAAAGTGATCAATAAAAATCTCTTAAAATGTTTTAAAGTGCCCTAAAAGCAAAGAAAAACGATGTAATTTGTATTTATCAAAACAAATTCAGATGCAAGCATTTGGATGTAATGGAAGTACCTGCAGTGACTAATGTAATCGTGGCCCGCTGTGACATTTCGGGCAATTAGTGTGCTTGAAACAACAACAGGGCATAGATTGCTCACATACGCGTGGAGACGGATCCAGGGGGCGGCATGCTACCCCCCCCCCCGAAAAAATACTAGAGTTTTAGTTTGTTGCCTTCTGGCTCGCCACCCGTGAGGAGGGCTGCCAACGAAAGAGAAGATACTGGGGGTAAGAGATGGACCAGCACGATAAACATTAAAATAATAATAGCGTTCTATTGCATCAACCAGTGTCAACATAATTCACTCCCAGGATGGATGCAAGCTCTTCACGCCGATTTCACGAAACGGTACCCAGAACTTTATCTAAAGGAACAAAATGTAGCAGACAGAAAACATGACATAGAAGATGCTAACCTCTCTGAAGTGGAACTAGAGCAAATATGACAGCAAGGCAAAACCTCGTCATAACTGTCAGTACAAGAGAATAAATAGAAAGAAATGAATCAGTATTGAGGCAGGCAACCGAAAACTCATGTCTCCTGTCAATGCAGATGAACAAATCGAATGCAATAAAAGAGCACTGAACTCTGGACGTGTAGATGCAGAGGAGGAGATAAAGAAAATTAAAGAAAAATTCAGCAGTCTTCTTGCGTACTACAGTCAAGTCGATCCTTTAAACAGACCAGCAATACCAGTTCAATCAAAAGAGGTTCTGCGAATAGTAAACGCTATTGTAGCTAAAAATAAAATTAATATACACCATCATACTAGCTGACAAGAAGTTGTTAATAACATCAGGCAAAAGATCAAAGTGAAATGTGCTCGGCTAGGTAGATACAATGAAACCACAAAAAGGAAGTCACAAAACGCAGAATTCAGTTCCCGTCAAAAAGAGAAACTTGAACTCTGACTCGAAAAAGCAGGAAGTCAACATAAATCAACAAGATTTTAAATTTTACTGGGTAAGCATTTGGGCTAAAACTAGTGGATTCGATGAATTCGGATCATGGATTAAAAGTATTAACGAACAATACGAGAACCTGCCCCAAATGAACTTAAATAAAATAACAGCTAAAAACATTGTGAATGCCATAGGAAATGCTCAAAATTGGAAATGTCCAGGAAGAGATATGATCCAAAACTTCTTGTTGAAGTACTTCAATCAGGCTCATGAAAGCCATAGCATGCTGTTTCACTGAGGTGCTGAATAACCCTGACAAATGCCTGACTATCTGAGTGAATGAGACACTTTTCTAATCTTCAAAACGGGAAACTAACAAAATCCAATGAATTATGGACCAATAACATACTTATCATCCATATATAAGCTCTTCACCTCTGTTATTGGTGAGAGAACCTACCCCCACTGTGCAAATAATTATATACTTGAAGAATAACAGAATGGTTACATCAAGGAAACTATGGGATGTAAACATCAACTCATCATTATGTTGTCTTTAATCAAGCTCAAACACAGAAAATAAATCTCCACATCTGTTATATTGATTATAGCAACGCTATTGACTCAGTTCCTCGCATATGGCTAAAGAAAGTATAGGAAATGTATAAAATCTGTCCAAATGTAAGAAATATTCCTCAACATTGAATGAATAAATGGCGTACAAATATACGATTCCAAGATAATATCCTAGGAAAAGCTGATGAATGAAAAGGTATATTCCAGGGCGACTCCCTATCAGCACTATGTTTTTGCCTAGCTGTAAACCCACTATCAACTCTTTTGAATAACACTAAATGTGGCTATAGATTGAATATGAAAAACTTAAAAAGATTAAACCGTTTACTGTACATGAATGACCTAAAGCTTTACGCCGAAACGCATGATGAATTAGAATCGCTTATAATTGTACCAACAAAAAAACGAAATATGTCATTTGTCACATCATCTGCAACATGGAGCAAACACCATCTCGATACCTCGTTTTCAAGATATTTGCTGCGGCCAACTTAGGTGGTCCACTCTGTATTTCATCAAGCGCGGATCCACGGGAGGGAAATGAGGAAAATTTCTCCTTCCAAAATATTTCAGTAACTATAAATTTCAACTTGTCACGAAGCTTTCAAGGAAAAGTATTTTCGTTTAAACATTAAAACGAATAAAATTGTATCGTAGGGTGAGCTGAGTTTATCCTACGTCATTCTGCATGATCTATACTATAAAAAATTCGATCCAAACATTTGGAATAAAAAAATGTCCCCTCCCAAAATTGGATCTTCTGGATCCGCCCCTGATTTCATTAATTTCAAGCAGTAATTTCGCGAAAACTACTAGTGTTTTCAAACAAATGTATATGGCCGTTGTTAATGAAATTATTTTTTTAGAACAGATTTTCTTTGAGACAAAAATCTCTGTCTTCTATTTTGTGGTTTCCAAATGTCAATGTTTTTGAAATTCTATATAATGTAAAGAGCTCAATGAAAATTAGACTTGTTGTCAGCGTCCCTTTTTCTATCAATAGAAAAAAAGAAGAAGAAAAATTAATGGTGTTTGAGATTTTTTTCAGAAATTGCATGAATTTCATGCACAAATTACACAAAAAAAATACTAGTTTTGTTCAAAAAATTGTACCTGAGTAAAGTGCTGATTTTTCACACACGCGTTGCCTGAGGCAAAAACCTCCACCTTCAATTTTCTAGTTTTGAAATAAATACTTCTTGCAATTTTCAAAAACGGAAAAATAGCTGACAATTAGACTAGCGTAATTTTGTAAACTTTTGAATTTTTACAAATCCGAATTTTCGGCATTTCCTAGTCTTTCAGAATATATCAGATTGTAATCGACAATGGCACACCGCGCCGCGACACTGCAGTTTGAAATTCTGAGAATGACTCGTAATTTTTAGATTTAGCTGTGTGATTTGCGTTGTTAATTGCCGAATTTGTGGTGAAATATTAATTTTCGCACGTAATGTTCTTTGATTTATTTCGAGTTTTCCAAGTGATGACTGAGACATAGTATGAACCTAAAAAATTCTTTTTTGATGACCAATATTCGATATTTGAATCATTTTATACTCATGTTAGAAAATAGTTTTGCTTATTATTGAATTATATGGTGACAGCATATTTTTCGAACCTGCTTTACACTAAGAATAAAATTAGAATGTACTTGATGTGGAGAGGCGGCTCAGTCGCATACTGCGCTCTCTACCACGTGCTCTCAACACTAACGTGGTAAACAAGAAACGAACGAGAAACTCGTTACAACTTTGTCCTAACATTAGTTACATTCGTTCGTAACATTTGTTCCTGAGGTTACGGTGCTGGCGTCATCATGTGACCACGATATCAATCACATTATAATTTTATTCGAAACTTACACCTTCAATATTGAAGCTACAAGTATATTTCGTAATTGTATAATTTCTTTAAGTCTTTTGTGCACTGTTTTTACTACTAAATACTGTATGCGTTGTCAGAATGTAGCTGATTATTTATGGGTGTTAATGAAAGTTTTAGATTAAAATCCATTTTTGCGTCACAATTATGATGGAATATGGAATGAACGCAGAGGCGGCTCGTGAGGTATCGCTGGGGACGTTCGCGAATTAAAAAGATTTATTTTATAAGGCAGCAGGTGTAACAATGACCAAATGACATTGGCCACTATAGAAAAATCGAAATATTGTATACAGGAGTTGCAGGGGCGGATCCAGCCGATCATTTTGGAGGGGGCCATCGTAGATTTAAGTTAAAATAATACAAATATGTATTATGTTCCGTATTATTTATGTACTGCAGATATAATACTAAACAATATTATTGTTAATATAATTACATAATTCAAATATAAACAAATATTTAAATCATTTTTTCCAAATAAAGGAAGGTAAACGAAAACTCTAGGCATTTTGAGGGGGCAGGCCCCTATGCCCCCCCCTGGATCCGTAAGAGAGTAGATGGAAGATTTGGGGAGAGGGAAGCTTGGGCTAGCTGCCTTTCCGCCCCCAACCGCTCATGGCTGACTATGCTTACAAATCAAACACAAATTACACACACTGTACTGCTTGTTTTCTTGCGAAAAGTAGGGCTCCAGGCGTGGTAGGATAACTTCACTATTCTTAAACCATGGTTCTATAAGCATCGGGGCTCGGGTTGCCTCTCGTTCCTCAAAAGTCCTTCCATGTTTTGATTGTGAATAACAATGTCAAATTAATAAGTAGTGGGCAATCCCTGAAAGAGATCCACCAGAACATATGCAATGCCGAGTGCTCCAGTATTGAAAATACGAGTAAATACTTCTAGAGGAGTTGCATTTCTAGAAGCTTAGGCTGCGCCGCGCCCACTGTGAAGCGGCAGAAGTGGGCGGGCGCGCATGGCAAGCTGGCTGTCACTGGCGGTACAGGAAGGAACTGGAGTTGAACGAGCGGGGCTGACTCGCTGTGTCCAGCGCGAGTTCCTCTCCGTACATAATAAACACTCGGGTGGAAGACACATGTGTAGGGTTGTGGTTTTTATACGTTTTTTTCCGCATTTGAATTGATTTATGCGTGTTATACTGTATTTACATAAATAACAATATAATAGTTCGGATATATATATTAAAAACCGTATTTTTATTATTTTTGGGTGTGTATTTTTCTGACGATATTGGTTTCGTATCAGCAATTACATGTGTGTGTAATCAGCGATTTGATATGTGTGTGAAAATTTCAACCCGTTTGTCAACATTATGTGGTTGATGTTGAGAATAAATTATGTCGTTGCTTTGCCTGTTTTGTGACAGGAAGTTTGAAGTCGTAATCGATAAATACCTATGTAATTTAATTTCTGTCAATTTGTATTAGGCTTTCTGGTAGTATGTCTTTTAGGTAGAAAAATAAGTTACGTACGTAGAAAATTCAAAGAGATTTTTATGCTGATAAGTCATGTATATCTCCTCAATAACTTTCTTCCTTTTTGTCGCGCTATTCCGTAAGTATTGTTGAAATGAATTATAACAAACTTACAATCATTCGGGATCCCAAATGTTTAACCACATCTACCGTTCTTTGTAGATTCCGCTCATCTCTCTACAGCATCCCGTGTTTTGGAATTAAGTGACAGGTATTTGTTCAGGTTTTAAGCCAAGTTAGTGCATACTTGCCCATTTTATAGTTATTGAAACAATCTGTGATTCTTTTGCGCTTCTTTCAGATTTTTGGATATCAAGAAAGATGGGCAGTGGCTTATTATGGTGAATATACTTTTCCAAAACCAATGTTGCATTCAAAAATGAATTTGAATATTTGATATTGAACACATTATTTTTAACACATTAATTTTCTATAAATTTGTTTAAGATATATTGTGACTTGTTTAATTTCACTGCTTGTATATTGTACATTTTTAATAAATTCAAAGAGAGATATTTTGTAATGTAATAGTTGATGCAATAAATGCGATAGTTGATAAGGTAAGTTCTTTAGTCTTGTATCTTGGTGACCCTTTTGAACTTATGAAAAATGAACCAGTTAAACAATTACCATGAGTTAATGTAAAAGGAACCTGTAAATGTTCTCAAATATTGTGATTATCAAAAGGTAGTTTGTTGTCTTCAACATTAGTGTTAATCAGTACAGTAATTGATTATATTTATAAGAAATTCTAAGTATGATGAATTTACAGTTCTACGCTCCGTGGTGTGCCCACTGCAAACGATTGGAACCAATATGGGCTCATGTTGCACAAGCTCTACGAGGTACTAGTATCAGAGTCGGAAGAGTTGATTGTACCCGGTTTACAAGTGTAGCCACTGAGTTCAGTGTTTCTGGTTTTCCTACGATAATGTTGTAAGTATAGAAGATCAAAGTACTAATCAATTATGAGGAACTGTCTTTTGTTTCTTTTGAATTTGTGTAGTTTTAAGGGTGACATCATACATTGTTGAGTAAGAAAGGACGTTGCTACTTTGGAATTATACTCAAATATTGGAGACTTTTGTCAGACCCTACAATTTTTTAAATTAAAGACCAATGTGTGTTGATGAGCTTAAATAAATAAAGATAATGTGTGTATTTGCTTGTGTCTTTGGATATTATTGATGTCTTTAAGGCCTTGGAAGTAAGAGCATTGAAATATATGAAAAAATATTCATAATTTTAGTGTTAAACAATACTTTTGGTATTTGGGGATGTTAAACATGATGATTATTTATGCTTATCTCTTCTCTTGTGCCGTGAAGCAAGCACTAGTAAGTTAATTTTAATGTAAAATGTATGTTCAGACAGAGGTGAAATATACAACATAAGTTAATACTATTTCTAAACAGATTCTATTAATTTAAATTAATATAATTCCATTTCATTATTATAAATGGTTAATTAATTTTAACTTTGATGACTGTACCTGCAATCAGCATTTTGCTTGCTTTTTAAATTTTTTTTTTTTTAATATAAAAAGATAACTTTATTGTTTCAGGACAAAAATTAATTATACTGCAGGGGGGGTCTTGACAGTAAATAATTCTTCACTCTTGAGTTTTTTGAAGAGATTTTTATTCAATAACATATAATAACAGAACAATAAGCAACATTTCAACATCAGTTTCTGGTCAAATTAAATAGGACCTATGTAATAAGAGTGTTGTATTTTTGTTTTGTTTTGTAGCTTGAAAGATGATGTTCATTTCACATTCAGAGGCGATAGAACCAAAGATGAAATTGTGAATTTTGCTCTTCGTGTGTCTGGACCTCCAGTGCAACACATTACCAAACTAGAAAGTTTGGATAATATTAAAGCCAATAACCCATTATTTTTTCTGTATGTCGGTGATTCTTCTGGCTCACTTTGGGTATGCAAGTCAATTTTAGATAATAGAAATTTGAATTCTGATGTTAAATCATTATCATTAAATTATTATTAAATGGGAATTGTTTTTCCCATTAATGTAAATTTTAAGTCATGTTGTGAGAACTATTGCAACCTGTTATTACTGTTTTCTGTAGGTTTTTTTTTTTTCATGATTATGGTGACAAAAAATGTACATTCTTTTAGGAGGTGTACTCTGAAGTAGCAGAAAAGTTTCAGCCACATGGATTCTTTTATTCTACGGGTGAGAAAATTGCAAAAAATCATGCAGAGATAAAAAAGGCACCGACAGTATTTGTGTTCAAAGAAACCGTTTTTTATGAATTTGAAGGTGAGGAGACATTATTGGAAGTAGTAATCATTTTCTGATGTTTATTTTTTTGTTATTTACATCAATAACACTCCTTTCAGGGTATTGTTTTAAATAATGCAGTTGGATGTAAATACTGGTATGTGAAATTCTGCGTTTGAAGGAAAATTCAAATAATTCTGTTTTCACAAAACAAGCTGCGAATGCCGTTAATGAATCAGTAAATCATTAATGAATCATTTTGTTGTTTAGTTTTGAATCCAATAAAGATAGTATTAGGCCCCCTTCTTCATAAAGTCTAATAATCTAGATTTCACCCAGAATGTCAGATACTGTTATTTATTCCCTATTGCCTCTAATATTGCACCACTTATTATCTTGAATTTGGGTTATGTTGAGTAACTGGTAAAAGAGTCAATGTTTTTGAAATTGTTTTGATCTAGTATAAATAATAAACAGAATTAAGTGTTTGAAAATACCTTTAATTACATATTATCAATTACTGTTAATATTATTTTTATTACTATGATATCATCAGTATGCAGTGTATGTACAGTTTGCAATGTTTTTATTCATAATTGTATATAATTAGGTACTACATTTATTTCAGATGACGTACGTGATTTAGAATCTCAGGACCTTAATTCAACCATGTTCAATTGGATAAATGCCGAAAGATTTGAAACCTTTCCCAAAGTTACTCGAGGTAACATTCATCAGATTTTACAAACTGGAAAATATTTGGTTCTTGCAGTTGTTGAAGAGAATAAACTTTTGGAAGTTCCACCTGATATGATTGAGTAAGTTAACAAAAGCAAATCTTTATTTCCTTTCGAAGTCTAAAAAGCAGATAGTAAATTTCTGTGCAGTGTTAATCGAATTGAAGGTTACAATTGTTGCTACTATAATATTACTTCTATAAAAGATACAAATATGTATTTTTAATCTCTTCTTTATTTTTTTAGCTTTCGAGATATGGTCGAATCTGTGATTCGAAAGAACAAAAAGAGACTTCATAAGTGAGTACAAATAATTTTATGAATATATGAATACTTAATCGGTTTTTAAAGTAAGAAATTCTTTGTTTATATTTCTAAAAATTACCCTCAAAAGTTTCCCTCTCTCTTTTTTTAAAATTTTTTTTTTTTTTTGCACATAAAGCTTTTTACAAGTATGTAGTAAGGCAAAGGATATTGTTTCAAATTTCATAATAATCATCTTAAACCCTATTTTGGGACAACTTTGTTCTATTAGTGGGTAATTTCAAATTTTGTTATAATTATTAACAAAACATACTTTTATTAATTTATTCTTCTTTAACTGTACATGTAATGCGCTATTGGATTTTACCCAACAGCGTCACTTTTTTGAGCAAAATGTGTGATAATTTTGCTTCTTGCCTCTTGTACATTTCATAAGAAACAGCCATTAAAGTATGAGATTTGTGTCCATTGTTAATTCCCAAATGCATAAAACGTGGATGACAGAAATATTCTCCCACAACAACAAGCTACAACATAAAGCATGGTTTGTAATTTCACTAGTAAACGACATTCAGATATAAGAACAATGTGTAACTAAGGTTTAACACAAAACTCTAATACACAATGAACCTGATTATTTTTAGCACATGATTAATCACCCTGATCATGCAAGTTGTTAAAACTTCACCCCAGAGTGGTGAATGATGTGTTCAGTATTTCTGTATTTCAGAAATTTCCAGTTTGGATGGGTGGGGAGCCCAGAATTGGCAAACTCTATAGCCATGTCTGTTCTTACATTACCTCATTTACTTGTGGTAAATTCCACAACAAATCATCACCACTTACCTCAAGATGAACCCAGTCAGCTCACCCCTGAAGCAGTGGAAGTGTTTCTGGACCAGATTCACAATCAGTCAGCTCCTGTAAGTTATCTCCCAATTTCAGGATATATTTCAATTCTGAAATTATTATTCTGATGTTTGCTAATTGGATTTTTAGCCTTAAAATTTTATTTTAGGTACTTAAAAATTGTTTGACTCAGAAGAAAGCTTCAAACAAGCAAAATAAATTGATTAGAAAAGTTTTATTATCTTCATAATTTTATTTTAAATAGATTTTTAAAATTAATAATAATTTTATAATAATAGGGAAAGGGAATATATACATTATTTTTTAAAAATAGCTTTTAAATTTTATTGAAAGCCAAAGTATGGCTAGTGTAACACAAATAAAATGCTGAAATTGAATTACAGAAAAAACTACACAAAAATTTGGAAAGAAAATTGTCATAATTTATTAATTTGCATTAATTAATGTTTATTACCTTTCCTAATTGCAACTGAACTGTGTTTTCACAGAAAATTCTTTTAATAATACTATTCTTTCATGTCACTCAATGGCACAATTCTCTTCTTTGACTTCTCCACACTCCTGCAAGAATCTTATTTTTAATTCAATGTGTTAAGGACAGTTTTAATTTATCATTTATTTATTTCTTTTTGTTGGCTAAGTGTGTAAAAGACTATTTCCGCAGATGTCCTTTGTGATTTCAATGAAATTTTACTGGTTTAAAGACTACTGTGATCTCTTTAACTTTGGTAATGCTAACTAACAAAAATAACACACTACCTTTAAAAAAAATTATGTTTTTACTATTCTTACATTGTCAATAATTTTGTTTGGAATCATGTATTTAGCTTAATGTGGAAGCATGTGCTCAAAAATTTTTCAGTAGATTGTTTGGGTATCCATCTGATTTTAGAGCAACAGTTCTTAACTTTAGTTTTGCATTTCAAGGCTAATGAATTACATTAGATGGTAATTGTGCCACTTGAGAAGCAACCCACCTTTTCTTCCTGAACCATTGGAGTAGCTAGGACAAATGTATGGGGCTCTTGCTGTACCTCACCCCCAAAATTGGGTTAGAAGTTAACACAAATTCATAAATATATATTTAGTTTTATTGTTTTTAATAAAAACAAAACAAACATCACAGTTCACTTGGACATCTTGGGCTACTTCTCAGAAACACACAGGAAAATGTGTTGTAGGTCACCAACCTATAACAGGTGCAATGAATTTTGATTTCCTCATAAGTTTTTTTAGTAGTAGTTAATTACGGAAAGTTAAGTTGAATTGGCATTGTGGATCGATTAGTCAGAATAATACAGCTATAACATACTCCCTCAGTATATTTCTATGTCAACAATTCATTATTTATGGTTTCTCAACAAAAATAGAATTAGGCACATTTGATTCTTATGTAATTTACTAATTATGACACTTTAGGCTTATGGTGGAAACACATTACCAGTGCGATTGTATCGCACATATTTTGAAGCCCGTACATCTCTCTCGGAGATGTGGCAAGGAAATCCTGTCCTGACAGCAGTACTTTTTGGTCTGCCATTGGGATTTTTGAGCTTAATTTGCTATTCAATTTGTTGTGCTGACATTATGGATGCAGAAGATGAGGAAGAAGGTATATGCCTTATCTTTAAGACACCTGACTATGTACTGCATTGGTGAAACACAAAGTTAATGATTCTTTTTTTTGTTCAGATGTTGCACATGAGAAGAAAGAATAATCTGGAAATTTGTTTATATTGGATACAGAAAACTCAAGCTTATTATCACCTCCTTGGAAGTGACCAAATTTTAGAATGTACTTATATTTGCTATATTTGTTTGTGTGTTATCTTTCCATTTCCTATAGTTGTTGTGGACCTTTCACTATTTTGAAAGTAGTATTTAGAAGAATTCTTAAATTTTTCGAAAAGTTATTGTTTTTTGATATTTTGTTATCAAATATATTTACTGTACTTTTTAGTGCCCATGATAAATGGATAAAAAAATGTGGCTCTCGTGAAATTTTAGTAGTGGTAATTGTAGTTATCAATAATTTATTTATTGTAAAACATGTGCCTGTATTTTGTTTATTGTAAATATTTTCTTATTACTGTAAGTGTAGTTCCTCAAGCACAAATATCTTGTGCTACATTTAATATAATTCATGAGCAAAAATGTATATTATGAGAAATATCAAATTTGTTAAAAGAAATAAATTTCATAATGGCAATTAAATGATTTAATTCTTGTGTAAATAAATACAAAATCATGTGATTTTTCTTTCACTTTTTAATGAGAAAATTGAGTATTACTTTGACCATTTTTGCTTGAAAAAAATTAAGCCAGTTAAGGTTAAATTAAAAACTGATTAATATTAACTTATTTCTTCCACTACACAAACACAAGATAATCACAACAGGTTCTGGTGCCAAAGAAGCTCACGTATCTGAGGAACAGTTTCCTTCACAATTCATCTTAATATAAAGTAATTATTTAGTACAAGGTGGAGAAAAGCAGGATAATTTTTCAAAACAGCAGCAGTTTGATTTATAATTCATCATCTGAATCGAGAGCAGCACGTCGCCGATCAAACTATGAACAAAAGGATAAAAAAACAAATGATCACCTACTTTTCATTTTGCACACTACAAAAACAGCATAAAGGAATTTAATCATACCATATTCAATTATAGCAATTCAGGAATTTTAATAAGGGAAGCATATTGAAGAAAATAAGTTGGAACAAGATCTTAAAATACAAGGAAACTTGAGAGGTGCCTTCCAAAACAGAACAAATGGAACTGAATGCGTAAAAGTTAGTTAATTACAAAGCGAAAATTCCTCCTCCTTTAGGCTCTGCATTTTTAGAAATATCAAAATTAGTATATAGAGGATTTATGAACAACAGTACCTAAACAAGGTTTTCCTGGATTAAATTGAAATGAGAACATTTAAATCGAACAAAAAAGAGACTCGGTTGAACTAGAGTAGCTTGCATGGCAACACCTCGCTGAGAGGACCCCACTCATGACACATAGTGACATTTTGAGAGATGAAATCTGTGCAAGTTATGTTATTTGTAACAGACCTTTTGCCTACCTTAACAATGGTTTTCTTCTGCATTTGCTCACTGACTTTCTCTAGGATACCTATTAATTCTTCTTCTCCCAATTTTCCCATTATTTGACCTGTTCTTGCCATTTGAATTAGCATGTTCTCCACCATTTGCCCCTTCTCAGGTTTTCCAATCATAAGTGTATTTACTGTAATATAAAATTATTCGTAAATTATCAAATAACTGGCATTTTCACACACGTTTACAAGAGAAAGTGTTTGGGAAAACAATATTTACATCTTGCCCGCGCCGACTGAGTTAGTACTTGAGTTAAAATGCTATGCTTGAATTCATCTTGTTCACGTTTTCGTTCTTCAAGTGCCTTTTCTGATTCACCCGGACCCTAGAACAACGAAAAGTAAAATTAAAGAAACAATGACATAAATAGTTCAAAGATATCTGGGTTAGAGGGTATGATTCCAATACCTTGTATTGGCTCTGCAATTGAGCTAACCTCTTCGCCCTAATTTCTTCCAAATCCGCATCAGCCATCACGTTTTCCCACAACTACTGGAAATTAAAAAAAAAAAATTACAGCCTCAAAATTCGCATTAAGACAACACCCCCTTATCTGCCCCGAACATAGGACCAACAACAGCGTGGGGAATGGTGCAGCGAATAGCGATGTTCAACTTTCCTTCCGAAATATTCGTGACAAAGACAGTCAGTATCTACCATCATTACCATCCTGGTACACACGTAGAAAAATATTATGAGCTGTAATTGTGATACGAGATTGTAATGTCACGGCAACCAATATCCTAAATATAAGTTCAAATGCAAAACTAATCAAATCTCAACAAAAAATACGGTTTTATTACACTTGTCAACAGGAAAGGATTGAAACGAAACTGTTTAATCTAGGGATTTGTATTGAGTGAGTTGGTGCATTGTCGAATCACCCAGGTGGAAGCAGCCGTGTGCGGGGAAGCATTCATTTCAAATGAATGGTTTATCACCGCGCAACACGAATTCATGAAAGAATCCTGCAGATAACTCGCCTGTGGACTTCAGTAGTTGCTACTTAAAAATTGTTTTTATAGTTATTTGACAGTGAACGCTAATCAAGGCAAGTCAGGCTGGCTTTCTTTCCAGGAGGTGAGTGGGGAGGTTAGCAAAGATGAGTGTTTAATAGATACATTTTGATCATTTGCGAAAAATTTGGCACACACTAGCTCTTTGATGTCCATTTCTAGAGAGATTGTAAGGACTGCCTACCACTAGAAGATATAAATAGAAAGCGGTAAATGTCCAACTTGATTTAGTATGAGGCCACATAAATGTGGTTATGCTGGAGAGCACCTAGAATTATAAGATTTTGTGAATATTATTTTCTGCTTTATCAGTTAATGAAATTGTTGTAAAGTGGAGATCAGTTTTTTAGGCTGATACATTGCTGAAAAGATTAATTAAATTTTGTTCTGCTGATAGTAAGGAGAAGTTTTTAACTGTAATTTCAAATGTTGCTAATCTCTGCAGCCATGATCTCACCCTTTAGTTTTTTGTTAACATGGTTTGAGTCAAAATTTAGAGAATGACATATACTTTTCATAAATTAGAAAAGCATATTACTGGATGTGAGTTTGAAAAACGTCTAACTGACATTATTTAATTATAAAAATCTCTTTATTCCATTTGCCTTATGTGTTTTCAGTTGGAAAACGATTTGTTTTTCTTAATGTTTCAGTGATTAAAAAAATTTTAATTATTCCATTATAGCATCACAAAATTCATGGAAGAATTTTGTTTGAATTATAATATAAATGTGAAGGAATTTTATTGTTTTTTACAGGTAGCAGTAATCTGTTTTAGACTAACATGTAATATTAAGAAGAAAAAGAATTATATGCTGCAATTATGAACTATGGATAATAATTCCTCAAGTGTCAATCCTGTCTACTTTTTTAATGAAGAAGTGTCAGGTCATTGCTTGGCATTTGTTGAAGATGAAATTGGTGCAAGTTTGTTATGCGGAAGAGAAGATGGTACCGTATCAGTTTGGGATTTGACAACTCTAAGGATGAAGGAATCAGCAGTATTGTGTGCTGGATCAACACCTTGTATAAGTGTAAATATATGTGGTAGGAACTTAATAACTCAAGATAAAACTGGATTGATCAAGTTTTGGGAGAAGTCAGAAACATGGAAAGAAAGACGCAGTTTACAGTTAGATTATTGTGGATTTTGTAAGATCACTGTGAACAGTGAACAAAATTTAATTGCTTGTCCACATAAAAGTTGTATATTGCAAGTATATAACATGGAATTTGAAGAAATTTCAATATTAGAACCAGATGAAACTAAAAATAAATTTGGGTATGTAATGAACTGTAAATTTGTTAAAAGCAATGAAAAGTGTTTTCTATTAGTTTCTTATGAAAATGGCTCTTTAATACTATGGGATCTAGAGACTAAAATACCACTAAGTGAATTGAATGTAAGTAAATCTCCAGTATTTGCTTTGGATTTTGATGATGGCAAAAATCAAGGAGTATGTGGTTCTAACACTAGGAAATTATCAGTTTTTAAATTCCATGAATCTTCATCTTTAGAGAACATTTCGACAATCAAAATTAAAACAGCTGGTGTTGGAAGTGTTAGGATACTGCCGTCTCAAGAAATATTAGTTGTAGGTTGTTGGGACAGTATGATAAGGATATTTTCATGGAAATATTTAAAATTGCTGACAGTAATGTCGTTTCATTCTCAGAGTATTGAAGATTTGTGTTTTTCATCAAAGAATAGTGAGGTTTTAGATTGTGAATGTGTGTTGTTTGCAACAAGTCGAGACAAAAAGATTTCAATATGGAATGTTTCTGATTTTTGTGCTTTGGCTTAATAGTGTTCTGAATCTCTGTTGTTGGTGGTGGTGTTTTCTGTTTTTTTTGGTCACTTTCTTTCTTTCTTAAAGGTAGTTGAATGTTTTCTTAACAGTTTTAGATTGGATGTCTTTTTAACTTTGATCAATTAACTGTTCAGATAAGCATAGATTATGTCTCTATTCCTTACCATGTCCCAAATGCAGGAACCTGCTCACTTCCATGAAAAAATGGCAAACAGTAACTTGACCCAGCGGGTGCAGTGCTGGCATATTTACTACCTAACTACAACCTGTAAAACCTTTGTTTTCCAGCTACCTACACTTTTAAGGTGCAGTTGAATATCTGATACGCATTTGAAAGTAGATGACTAGGCTGTATTGAACATTCATCTTGAATATGTCTGTATGAGGTGGGAATGGGACACATACATTCCAAGCAAGGATTAATATTTACATTTTGGGCGAAAATTGTAAGAAAAAAAAGGAAATTCTGAAAGAAAGAAAAAATTGTATAAAACAAATTGTATTAAATTACTATCAATATTTCCAGTCAAAATTAACAACTTTTTTGAAGTTCGTTCTCTACCCCGGCAAATAAATTAAATTCACTATTTTAAAGAAAGGAACACGCTTATTCTCGAACAAAATGTCAATTCATGCATCTTCAGAAATCCATCAAAAGAGGCATCTTTTCAAATTCTTCACACTCGAAGTATTCGTCTCTGATAATTGAGACACTTCCTTTTTTGGTGCACTACGTTGTGTTTTTGCAAAAACCTAACTGCAATTTCCTCGTTTAAATATTTCTGTTAAACGAAATAAATGTAGAGCCGTCGTTCCCGCCATTGTCTTTCGAACTACGCGGAAACTATTATTTACAGCTCCATGGGACTACGTAATCCTCCTCGGTCGGAGCAGCAAGCAGAGCCTGGCCCCGAGCAATTGAGGCCGCAATTACAGCGCTCCTTCAGTTATCTCTGGTTCAACCGGCGGAGGAAAAAATCACGGTGTAAGAAATATTTCTTACACCGTGAAAAAACGGAATCTGAGTAACCGGAGATCTGGTTGCATTCGTTCACTCGGCGAGACCCGCTCAATTTACTACGTCAATCAAAATATGCATTCGTATCTGTTGCCTATCGGTCTGAACTTGATGTATGACGCGTAGGGAATATAATGGCAAACAATTTCGACATAGAATTTGTGCTTTGCGTCTTCAGTTTACATATTTTACTTGAATATAATAATAATTTGTATGGTACAGCACGCCATGAATAACAAGTTAATTTACATTACTAAATATTATTTTATGATATTTAATATATAGCCATCCTGCTTTTTATCCTGAGGAAGGCCATGGACGTAGGAGTCAATATTCCAGGCGACGACGCTTGATTGGTAACCAGAGCCACATCGTCTCAGAAGGATATTTTTCCTCATCGAGTGTGTTAATCAGAAATTCTTGCTCATTTATGAGCGTGTCGCATTATGAACATTTTATTGTATGGTTCAAGGAAATGCACGAGATAGGAAAATGTGATATATTTGAATTTCGCGGTCAAAAACCAACCGGAGGTTCCGATTGAAAATGCGCGAAAGAATCGGAAGGAAACCTATCACTCAGTTGCGAGTCGCTCCTACCACTTGTTTCTTTCTTTCGTTCATCTCCCGTTGTGGATGTTGATTCTTGTGATAAGGGATAAGAGCAGCGCCCTCTGGAGAAATTGTATTCCAGAGACCCCTGACTTGCGAGCGGAATGGAGTCATATATTACCTAATACTTTTTGCTATTTACTTTGATAAACATGCACTTAACCCCGTAGCAACCAACTATCTTTAACAACGCTTTAAGAGCGCGTCCATAACCATTTCCAGCCATTAAAAATATTTTAGCGAACTTTCGGGTTTAGATTTTAACAGTGCTCATGAATATAGGGATAAATATGACGTTGACACAAAACACGATTTTTTGAATAAATGTAAAACAAATACAATTATTTTGGTACAGATATATTGAATGTATTATGCTAGTATAATCTCTTCATTAATGCCTCGAACATTCCCTTTCCTTCGCCCAACACAAAATCATATGTAGCTACAGATTTAGAAGGCATCAAATTAGAGCTTCCTCCAGAATACCTGGCACGAAAATATGTTCTGATACTTCGAAATTCCCGGACATTTTTCTCAATCGGCTTGCATTAGCAGAAAAATCAACTGTTCAAAGTGTCTAATGACAATTCTTAACTCGTGAAAGTGGTAAAAGTTTATTTTGAATAAGCGATAAATTACAAATAACAAAAAAAATTGCGTGTAACTCGACCTCCATTAGTCTAAGAACACATTTAGACTCGTGGCATAACTATTACATCGCAATTGACTTGTCGCTACGCCTGTTGAATTTAATGACAATACTCCAGCCATCGGTCTACTCGATTAACATAAAAATCTTCGAGTCTCCCAATATTTTTGCCGAAATTCTTTGTTGCGAAACAAAAAAATAAAAAAGCCCTATACGGATTCAAATTATTTATTTAAGAAAATGAGACAATCGAAGATACGTATATTCAGCCATTGCTTCTAAAATAGTTTGAAATAAATTCTTTTTTCAGTTGGTGTGTATACGTCACGAAAACTTCTGCACACCCGTATTGACGTTTATCACATGATTTTTCCTTCACTATCTGTCTGGACTTAATTTTGCATTATTGCAGGAACGTCAATCTAGTGTAGTAAAAAAGTTAGCACCGGATTAAATGCATTAATTGGAGTTAAAAGGTACCTTTAACACGGACAAGTTCGACCATTCATTTGAATTGCGGAATAGAATGCCCCTGTTTTCGC